TCAATCAAGTTTCCAGACCGAAAACATCCTAATTATATTCATGTCTAGCCATGGCATACCAGTGCCACCTAGTCGCTCCCAATAACCTTGGCCAAAGCAGTATGTGAGAAGAAAGCATTTCCGTTCTCAGCAACTCGCACTTTAGGTCTCTGAAAGGGTAAATATAGCTTTAGTTTTACAATAAGACCGCTGCGCTACCAACCCTGCCTTAACACAACACGCTCAGCTGGCGTTTGTTTTAAATGCAAATGCTAAAAAGACGCTGAAGAAACTGTATACGGTCGTATTCCAACTTTCTTTTAACCGTATTTTTACCCACATCTTTTATTTAAATTGTTTACCCACATCTTTTATCCACATTTTTTACCCAAATTGTTTACCAACATGAGGGAATATTGAAGGATATTCATGAAAATAATTACATGAACTTGGTGATTCCATGAAAACCATAATAATATAAGCAGTTTTGTTGCTGAAGTTCAAGCATGACGATTATTGAGAAGAACGCGCCTGGGTATTAATTTTCGATGGTTATTTAGTTGATGAAAAGCTTTTCAATCGCTCAGTAAGCCTCGTAGTCGACACGAACAAAAAAATATTACGTTTATTCGTAAGTATGGACCTTATTCGTGAGTATTTTGTTCAAATAAAAAGCATCACCATGAGGTCACTGCACGAAGATACGCACACAAAGAAATTTGTAGCGTCAAAATAAAATGAAATAGGATCGTGCATGCGAAACGCAATTAATTTTTTAGCGTTGAGGATCGAAATTCTTCCGACTCTTATAATTCCGGAAAGAGGAAAAGAAAGCACTTGCCGATTTACATGCAGGAGTGAGTCAAAAATATTTGAATGGAACATTAAATATTCGCTCAAAGTTTGTAGGACCAATCTAATAGAATAGAAGTGTCGGCGTTGAAGAAATAGGCCCATGGCCTGTTGCCGATTCTTGAACTTTTCGTGACTTGATTCACAAGGGATCCGGTCTTTGGAACCCGATCTTTCCATAGCTGACGATTGATTGAGATAGCTGCTGGACTTATTGCCTGCTCCGTAATTTGCTAGGCATTTTAAGACTGAACATATGCTCCTGCATAGCTT